ACTTGAATAAAGAAAACGTTTGGAAGTCATCCGCATTTTTGGATTTCATTTAGAATATTATCTTTGTTAGGTTATGGCAGAACAGTATCGCACAGCAAGTCATCCAATTGAACTATTTTCATCTTGAATTGGTGATAACTAAAGAAAAAACATGAAACAAATAATTACTAATAAATAATATTGCTCACTTAATTATTGCATCAGAAAGAATTTTTAAAATTAAATACATTACACTGCATATAGTCTGCATTTGCATTCAAAGTGTATTRACAGGTAGCCATGTTGATTTTGTTCTAGCGGAATGATGCGTTATCTTTCGTTCAGATGGCGACACAGTTTTACCAGTTAAGTAATAACTACTACCACTAGATAGCGCACCGCTGCTATGTTCCTAATGGCTGCCTATTTTTCAAACATAGGTAAAAGTTCATTACTTTAATTAATTTATTTCTCAGCAAATAGATAGTTTTTATAATTTTTTATAAACAAAGAAATTTTTTCAAAGTCTGAAAAATAGGATAAATCGATAAATGTTTATATTTCATGCTTACAATTAAATAAATTAAGCGTTAATATGCTTCTTACAATCACGGATAATGTGTTATAATATCTGCCGGGTTTTTACAAAATAATAATTTCTGAAGCATTTTTTACAAACTTTTATGAAATAATAATCTGGTTTGAAGTCTTTGGAATATTCTTATTGCTTAATTGTTTATAATTTATGTCTAGAAGTCTTTTAATTTAATTATTTATATGAGACATATAAAACTGTAACATATAGGCTAATAGGTCACTACTATAATTCATAAAAATGTACTTTCTATAAACTTTTTGTGAACTTTTATAATTTTATACTATTTTTATAAGTCTGTAGAGTATTCTAAGTTCCTAAAAGTTTATAGATTATGTCTGGAAGTATTTAAAATGAATTTTTTTATAATTAATTATTGTCCTTTGAAATGGGCGTCTACTAAAAGCTGGTTGGCTGGTAACCAACCAATGAGCGCTCCCGCCTTGGGACCTCCTACGCTACTCGAATACCTCCTGATACCTCTNATTCAAAGTGTATTGACAGGTAGCCATGTTGATTTTGTTCCAGCGGAATGATGCGTTATCTTCCGTTCAGATGGCGACAAAGTTTTACCAGTTAAGTAATAACTACTACCACTAGATGGCGCACCGCTGCTATGTTCTTAATGGCTGCCTATTTTTCAAACATAGGTAAAAGTTCATTACTTTAATTAATTTATTTCTCAGCAAATAGATAGTTTTTATCATTTTTTATAAACAAAGAAATTTTTTTAAATTTTGAAAAATAGGATAAATTGATAAATGTTTATATGTTATGCTTACAATTAAATAAATTAAGCGTAATATGCTTCTTACAATCACGGATAATGTGTTATAATATCTGCTGGGTTTTTACAAAATAATAATTTTTGAAGCATTTTTTACAATTTTTTATTAAATAATAATTTTGTTTGAATTCTGTGGAATATTCTTATTGCTTAATTGTTTATAATTTATGTCTAGAAGTATTTTAATTTAATTTTTTCTATGTGACTAACATATAGGCTTATAGGTCATTGTGATAATCCATAGAAATGTACTTTCTATAAATTTTTTGTGAACTTTTATAATTTTATACTATTTTTATGAGTCTGTAGAATATTCTAAGTTCTTAAAAGTTTATAAATTATGTCTGGAAGTATTTAAAATGAATTTTTTAATAAATAATTATTGTCCTTTGGAGTGGGCGTCTACTAAAAGCTGGTTGGCTGGTAACCAACCAATGAGCGCTCCCGCCTTGGGACCTCCTACGCTACTCGAATACCTCCTGATACCTCTTGTATCATCATGTGCTCCTGCTACTAATCTTTAATTTTTGTGACGGGAGGAAAACGATTGAATCCACCGGGATCATATGATTTCCATTGAAAATTGAAAAAACGTCAAAATTCTGATTGGAGGATGGCATTTAAATGCTTTTCGTAGTATATATAGATATATTTAATATATTGATAGGAGCATTTATTAGTATTTTTAAAAGCTTATAAATATTAATAACAATTTTATATAATATTCCTTCTATGAATTTATAAAAATGATCGAGAATAAAGATTGTAATAATTTTTCAGCCATAATTAATTACATAATCAATATTTTTTTTACTGGTAGTGTATATATAAGATATTTTTTCTTTACGCAAATTTGAATAATGATTTTTTCTATAACATTTTTTAAAAATATTGTTTTTTATTATATTATTCGTAAAAGTATACGTTGAACATTGAAATGTTTGGAATTTATTATTGATAGTAAAATTGATTATATACTTCTTTAAATATATCTAAATAAATAACACAAATAAGAATATTTTTAAAGAATATTTATTTAATAGGAATGTGTAATGTATAATGGTGGTAGGACATTGTCTGAAAGTTTATAATGAGTTTGTTACATTATTTATTTATTAAAATACTTTTCTGCACTTTAAATTATAGATATATCTAATAAAAAATTAATTTCATATGTTCTCTTACAAAATGAAATCCCATAACTAATAGACAAACATATTATTTAAAAGAAAATTTCTGTAGCATTTCTGTAGCATTTCTTGTAGCATAATATTGTAATATGTTTTCTCTTGATAATACAGTTTTCTTTTGTTCTTCCCGTATCATGTGTTATGAAAATATTTAAATCTTTAATCTTTATTTCTTGAAGAAGTTGCACAAAGAACCCTGCAAAAGAAAATGAAGTTATTAGTTTGTTCCACTATTCCATGAAAAATGTAAAACCTGCAGTTTATTCTCTGTAGTGTATAGTAAATAAGATACTGAAAATGTTGAAGTATTTCTTTTCTATCAACGTACCCTTAATATAGTGAATAATTATATTTGAAGGTTAGAATACATGTGACAAAACTTGATGTCTAGTTGAGTTTGATCATCTACCAATATTCTTTTCTTTTTCTCTAGTCTTGTCTAGTCTTGTTAAAATAAGACATTTTGTCAATGTTTCTTATCAACGGCATTTCTGTTTTAACAATCTCTTATTTAAAATAAATAATCCAATCTTATAATTTGCAGTCTTGTAAGCATCTGAAAATAGAAAGAAGCACAGTATCGATTAGTCTAGTTTTACACACGTACAAAAACAACAAAAATAGTTTGTGTTATATACATACCATAATTTCTTATTGTTATATGTATCATGTCATACATATATAAAAAAGGATTTGGAAGATTTTACAAAATATGATCAATGTCATAAGTTAGCTTCAAATGAAATAGGAAATGTTTCTAGGCTTTCCAAATCAAGAAGAACAGCTGTTCGAGTTTTCGAAAAATTTGGAATACAGACTAATCTCACTATGTGTCCTTCATCTGTAAGAAATATTAAATACAATTAAAATTGAAATTTATTTCATTTGTTTTGATATTATTTAATGTAATATGTGATCTTACCAGATATCACCTTTGTTTCATATTTCTCCATATTGCCAACAAAGTATATGTCTAAACATTCTTTTATAATGAAGGGATCATTTTGAAAATATGGATAAGACGGTAATGAATTAGGAACTGTAGGTGCATAATGTCGCCAATATAATGTATTCTCTAACCATTCTAAAGGAGTATTGTTCAGAACATTATCAACTTTCATAATATCTTGAATCGGTTGTCCACTAGATCCAGCTATAATACGAGATCCGATAGAACCAACCCAAGGATTAGTAACGCAATCAAAACTTTGATATCTGTAAATTATGAAGTGTTGTTCATTCTTGTTGCAATAATAGATGATCGTCTAATAGATTTAAGTATTATACCTTATTGTTTGGGGTAACAAACAAGGATGTAATGGTTGTTGAGGCAACATATGACATGTAGGATCGAATTCACCAGGCATTAATGTTACACAACAACACTTCACGATAGATTGAAGAAATTCATCAAGTCTATGAGTGGCCACCTCAGTTTCTTTACTTAATATTTCATTATATTTTTTTTGCTTAGAATAATTGTTATGATTAAATTTTTCGATGAAACCTCTTATGCTATTTCCTAAACGATCATAGATATATATATTTATTAATTTTAATCATACAAATAAATATTAATTCATATAAATGATAGTACGTTTAATTAAACGTACCAGCTATAATAACATGTGCAATACGTGCAGCTTCTTTTTGTATAGACGAATTTCCAGCCATTCCTATAATCCATTCGGATAAGAGAGTCAATCCAAATGGGTCTACGTTATTTGCCAATGATAATCCGGAAACTAATAATGTCATTGCATTTCTTTGCAATGATATAGAAGATGTAGAAGGTGTTGGAAAATATCCTGGAAAACACCAATCCTCTACCTAAAATAACATTACTTTATTTAACCAGAAAAACACAATTGACAAATGGTCTTAATATACCTATACTTGCAAAATACCCAAAATGTTCCGTTCTCTTGTCGACGACCAAGCAATGCAGAAACAATACCAGTTACAATACTTTGTACATTCATATGATTACCAGTTAGTTTAATTCTTAATGCATCATCTTCCAAAAATAAGATATCCTTAAATGACTCATAATTAGATTGCAATGGTTGTGGACAAACTTGTAATTCTGTTGCAAACATTTGTAAAGCTGATCTTTTCAATTCTTCATGCTTATAAAGAGTTCCTGTGATTACACACAGTTCATTTTCTTCAAATTCAACAAGATCTGAGATATTTATTATTTTATGTGCAGCTGAAATAAAATAATAAATAGATAAAAGATGAATGATTGATGAAATATTGGACTCATTTGAAATACTTTACCCCATTTTATTTTTGCCTTTAGTATTACATTATCTCTTAATGCATTTAATCTTGTGACATATATGCTTGAGTATTGACATTGGACATTTTTTGAGGATAATAAAAACCTTTTAAAATCATTAAGTGGTATATTTTCTCGAACAAAAGCACACGTAGTATTATCCTCCATGAATAAAAGTAAAATTATGTTTCTGTATAGACAAATATTATACCTATTCTATAGATTTAAAAAATGTTTTACCTAAAACATGGAGATATTTATTATATATTGTCTTATTTATTTGATATTTCTATGAATATATTTATTTTCTTCGAAGAAATCATAGTCTTAGTCGCGATCAATAATAATTACTTACATTCATCCCTAATTATTATTAACATTAATTTATAATTTGTATATACTACTACAATTAATATATAATATTCTCTGCATAATGAAATATTTATGGACCAATAGGGTTTGAGAATTCCATATCTATATTAAAAAGATGAATGTAACTTCTTGATCAAATAAACAATTTATTCTAACAAAGTTATATAATTTATAAACATTACGAAAATAAATTCAAACATAAGTAGTAAATAATAATAATAATAATAATAATAACAGATTTTAATTAATTTGTCATTTTATATGAGTATAATGAATTATTAATCAAAACAAAAGTAATATTTAATAAGACAACAATAGATTGGTAGTATTTCCGGAAAATATACTTTTTCCGAATGTACTCGGTTTTCACGCGTTCTATTCGCTTGCTCTGGAAGATTTTATTTTAGAGTTTTTCCACCAATAAGAAAAAATAGTTTAGTACTGATTACGTAAAGCAATAGTGAGGGAAATAAGCCGGCTGTTTAGCCAATAGGAGTCGTAGGAAACTCCCTCTGTTCCGTTGCAAATGCTCACTAACCTGATCTTTCCATCTTTTCTTTACCGTGTGGTTGATTGTAAAATTCTCAATTTATTGTTAATATCTAATTAAAAGGAAAGAAAAGAATTATTCAAATTATATTAAAAAATATTAGTAAATCATGGCTACAAGTTTAAGACTACTTAGGCTTAATTTGCCCTTTATGTTCAATTCTACGTTAAGAAATACTGTAAGCGGTAAGTAGTGCTGCTATAATAACCTCAAACTTTATGTCGTGTAATTTACTGATATAAATGATATATATGTAATATTGAATTAAGTTAAATATTACATATATCATGAGGTATATAGTTATTGTTTCAATGAAATTTTCATATTATTTTAGGTACTTTCTCATTGGGAATAAACCGTTTTATTTTTACAAATAAAACAATTGGTATGAACAATTATGAATATGTAAGAACACAAGTACATCAACAATTTATAAATGTAGAAGATTCATTTCGTCAAAAAATGAAAGAAATTGTTGAAGATGAAAATAGTGTAGTTTTTACTGAAGACTTAAAAGCTATGTCTCACTTGGTAACTAGTAATCCTGACGATATAGATTTATTTGTTAAAATGATATATAAATTCAACTCTCAAAGTAGTAACCTAAGGTTTGGTAACTACTCATTTGGTCCTGTAATAATGAGAGCTTTTAACTATGTGGGCAAACCAGATGTAGCATTATCTACATTTCTCGACCCAAAACTATCTTCATTTTTTGATCAAAGCACGACTTATTCAGTTTTAGTAACATTATTGTATAACAATAAAATGTACAGTGAAGTACGTCAAGTATTTGAGTTATTTAAGTCTAGATGTGTGGATTTTCAAAATATTCCAAGAATTCCAGTTATTGTTAACGCTGCTGCTGCTTATCAAGAGGTTTGTTCAGATGCTGTTGTTATATATATATGCTTTATTTAAAACTAAACGCAAATATATGTAATCATTTAAAATGTTTATATTTGCAGAATACTCCAGAATCGTTCAATTATTTATTGAACACTTGGAAAGAATTAAGTCAACGTAACTTCCCACCGATGCGTAGATTTATAACATTCTTGGCAAGCTTGGCATTAAAACAAGATTCTCCACAAATAACTTTAGAATTAATGTCTTTAATAAGAACACGTTACATCGATAATAGATGTTTGAAAATTCTTGCATACTGCAGACTTAATAGGTTAAATGATGTTGCTTTCATATTGAAAAATTCACTCGAAGGAACTTACTCTGTTAAAGAAACATATTTTTCAGATGTTGTATGTATATATTAATTAAATTATTTCTAACAATACATTTACTTCTACATATAAAATAAGAATGTTAATCAAATTAATCTTAAATTTTAGATTGAAGAGGTTGAAAAACATTTGGACAATGCAAATGATGAACTTAAATCTATATTAACAAAAATAATTACTCTTCTGAGAGAACAAGGACACGTAGAAGAGATGGTAATTATACCAAAATGTTTGATTATTTAATTCATTCATTGCATTGATTATTTAATATTCATTAGCCAGAATACTAAATATATTTTCTTTTTACAGACATTGGAAGCTCATATACTTAGTCCAATGGAATATTTATTCCCAAAACGTTCTAAAAATCTGATTAATGATCGTGCTAACGAAAACAATAGAAATGAACAATTTAGACAACCACAACGTAAAAGGATAGTTGGCTTAAAGGACCTTATTTAATTACTAATATCTTTTTCCAATTCATTGTAATGTATCTATCCATGTATTTATGATATAATTATAATTATATGATCCCATCTTTAAAGTTATAACAAATTCACGTTATTTTATCAATTGTAATTATTTATCATTATACTAATAGTACATAATGTCTTTTTATAATTTGTGCATTTCAGAGGAAAGTTTTGTAAGAGCACATGTTATAACTATTAAAAGATCAAACTTAGATACAAATTATATGTTTATTGTAATTTGCATTGTTTTTTAACGTGTATTTAATGTAAAAAATCAAAAATTTCTGATCGTCCTCACAATCAACCATGCACGGAAAAACATTATCAAGTATTATTTCTTTTCTTGTAGTAAACTGTAATTTTGTATTTAAATACAAATAAAAAGTTATAAATAAATTTTATGGTGAAAATAAGCATTTATTTTCTTGCTATTGATTTATGCAGACAAATTTTCCTATTCCTTTTTATGATATTTTACAAGAGTTTTATCTACATTTTTAAAATATATATATATATATATATGTAATGGGGTTATGGGGGAGAGAAAGAGTAGGAACAAATAAATCGATTTTTAATTTAATCTTATAGGGAAGTAAACTTCTGATAAGGGCGATTTTGGTTAACGACGATATTCTTGGAAAGGATACTTTGTTGTTTATTAGATCGACACTTTAATCAAATAGGTGGCGTTAAATCATTTTAAGATTGCGTATCTACTGTAAAGTGACAGATAAAATAAAAATGGCTGAAAATGGGTTGGGATCTGAAATTGGATCTCAAGAATATCTTGCAACAGATGCTATTAATTTAGATTTCATTGAGGTAAGCAACAGAAGCAATTAATTTATATATTTTGTAATATATTTAACCCATGAGAAGGATTTTTAAGTTATACAAAAATAGGTTATATTACATTAAACGCGATTGAAGGTTAATTGTATTTACACTGTTGGATTACTTGTTATATTATTTTCAATTATTCTTATTTATATATATATATATATTTATCTATCATATCAAAATGATTTTGTATTTATACCATATATAAGTAAATTTGGATATATTTTGAATAGTAACGCTAATTAATATTGAAACCTAGATCTTATTAATATACAAATTAATCCTGAATTAAAATGATATTTTAGTTAGATCATGCAGAATATGCTATACCAACTGTGGAAGAATTACCCTCCTTAGAAAGTATATTGACAGAACCTGATTGTACATCATTGTCAGGAACAGATGATGATCTTGGAGCTGCATCGATTGAAAAATTAGGTAGTAGTGAGACAACCAGTGTTGGTAGTCATTTATCTTTAAATTCACTCAATAAATCTTCTAAAGCTTCACAACATCCACCATCGGGAGCTATTTTAAGACATGTGATATTAAAGGGTATTTCTGCACAAATTGTATCAGCAAGCGTAAGTATTAAACCAAAATCTTCATTAGTACTTTAAACATATATTTCATTTTCAAATTAGACTCATCTAATGTTAACAAAAATATTATTCAGGAAAGGGTCAATGCTGGATTGGCAAGTGCAGTTACCGCTGGTGGGAATATGTTAGTAATTGGTACTAGTCATGGTTTAATATTAAGCTTTGATTCATCTCAGACATTACGATGGTGTGATCAAGAAGCCAGACATCAAGGATCTGTCTCTGCATTGTGCTTTAATCATGATGGAAGTAGAATATTAGCTGGTTTTGCTAGAGGTCTCATTTTAATGATCGATAGTAGTGATGGAAAAGTTTTAAGAACACTTACCGAAGTTCATCCACTTGATACTGCTGTATTACATGTTAAAGTAAATATTATTTATTTATCAAATTAATTCTCCAATCAAATATAATTATTATAATTATTATAATTAATATATCTTGATATTAGTTTACAGATTCTCCAAAAGTTGCACTTTGTAGTGACAATGGTGGATCTGTATTTGAATTAAATTTTACAAGAGTTATGGGAGTTCGAGGCTGTGATAGTAGATGCTTATTTAGTGGTTCTAGGGGTGAAGTGTGTACTATGGAACCTTTATTACTAAATAATTTACCTTCTCATCCATTGAAAAATTATACACTAGTAGCAATGGCCACGCTATCTAAGGTTTGTTGATTTTAGTATTTCTCGTTTATTTTATTTCTTGTTAGATTTATTATATTGGATTTATTATATAAGATGAAGTTTTTTAGGTGATTGTTGTTTGCATACGACCCAGAATAAGAGTTCTTCTTACACATTCACTATCAGGTGCAGCAATTGCACCTCCACAACTTTCTTGGCAGTTGGTTGTAATACAAGCAGCTGATGCATCTCGAGTAGTTGATCCAGTATTGGCTCTTGCAAGGGACGACATAGTACATTTTTATCAAGTAATATTATTTTATATGCTATAAAATAGTTTTATTTTATATTTATTTCTTTGATCTAATATTTCATATTTCAAATTATTGCCAAGGTATCTACTGAGGCTGGTACCAGAGTGAAATTATCTCCTCTTCGCAGAATGTCATTTCCATATACTATAAGCAATTTACGGTGGCTAAATCCAAGATCTTTAGTTGTATTAGATACTCAAGAAAGATTACATTTGTTAGATGTAAGAACGCAAGATAGCTTAGAAACGTTAGATATGAGTCGTGTTTGTATCTCATATGCTTCCAGTCATTTCAAAGGTTTATGTACAGGTGGTAATGTTTCTAAGGTATGAATTGTTTTTTTTTTTTTTTTCACTATTATCTAAAAATAATGTTAGAATAATATTGTTCTTTTTTTGCTCTACAATATTTTTTAACAAATATTTTTAACAGGCAATGGCATTAGCTGGAGAAAGAGCTTGCTATAATACTGTTATAACATTTGGAAATCAACTTTTGTTATTAGGTACGAAAAGCTTACATGCAGTATGCATAAGAACATGGACAGAACGATTGCAGCACTTAACAATGCAGGTATATTTAATAAAAAAAATGTTGAAAAAGTGCTTGCTCAAAAATAAAATTTTTTCTAGGGTCGTTTTCCAGAAGCTTTGGCCTTAGGACTTTCCTTTTATCAAGATAAAGGCAAAGCTGTCGTTGGGCTTAGAGGTTCGAAACAACGACGCAAACAAATAGTTCGCGATACAGTTTGTCAGATTTTGATTCAGTATATGGAACAATTGAATCATTCCTCTATGACTGATAATGCAGAATTTGATATAGTCAATATTTGCGTGGATTACTGTATACAATTAGAAAATACAGAATTGTTGTTTGGAAGATTATGGGATTTAGTATCTGAAATCGAAGGACTCAAATCAAGTTATTTGTGTGCCCTGGAAAGTCCATTACTGAATGGAAGTCTTCATCCAAGATTACCACCTTTAATAGTTCAACAATTATTTAACTTGTATGATCAAGAAGGAAAGGTGGATTCACTACAGACAATTGCCGTCTTATTAGATATAGATTGTTTAGATATACATCAGGTAAATTTATTTCTTATTATTCTTATTATTTATTCTTTAATCAATTAAACTGTATATATTTTTGAACATTATCATTGCAGATAACAACCATTTGTCGTCGAAGAAGTTTGTGGGAAGCTCTTATACATCTTCAAACAGCAGCCTTAAGTGATTTTACAGCACCTATACACCAGCTTGTGCCTATCCTTCAAAATGCATTGACAAATACCAAAGAATCATTATCTCGAGATATTTTGCAACTTGGTAATGCACTTTTGGTTTATGCTAGTTGTTGCCTTGCGGGACGTGGTTTCCCTAGAGATACACTTCCTGAAGTTATGTCACAGAGGGCAAAAACAGATATATTGAGGGCACTCCTATCTCAACATTCCAGTCTAGCAAGTGATGCAGAAAGGCAATATCCTTATTTGAGAACACTGCTTCGTTTTGATGCAAAAGGTTTTTTAGATGTAATCGCCATTGCCTTTCAAGAACCAGAATTTACCTCAGAAATGGGTCTTAGACAACGACAAAGATTCATAGATATTTTATTGAGTATTGTTCTACCCAGTACACCTCTTACTCCAATGAATTCAGACTATATCACTGATGAACAAAGGACTTTAGTTCTAATATTTATAGTAAATGAAGCAGCAGGAGATAAAATTAATTTGGAACCAAATATTTTAATTAGAATAATAGAAGTATTATGCGATTCCTCATCTGTTGTCACATCTAGGGATCTTAAATCTGAAAAGGAGAATGCAGTGTTAGGACTATTAAACTCCAAGAAATTGCGCAACATATCAGATACTACTTTACTGAATTTTGCACAGAAAGCTAACTTGTAAGTACAAATGTATAGTTTAGTTATTAATAACCGTTTAAATATAATACATATATGTCAATATGTTTAAGATTTTAATTAACATAAAAATATTGTTAAATCAAGATATAGCATTCGAGAGAGAAGTTCTTTTATCTCTCTTGTCTTCTCTTCTCTTCTCTTCTCTTCTAAATATCTGAGAAATGATTACGTTTATTTATAATAGTTATCTAATGATATGCTAGCATTATATGTATTAATTTGTACCGCAGCATGTAATGTTGCAGTATGCGAGTCGCAGAGTTGCTGTATACTGCCAGAGAAGATTGGATAGCAGTTTGCAAGTGTATGATACTTGATCCTACTAGGCATTGTGATATCTGGCCTTGGCTGGACCGACTTCCTACAACTTCATTACATTCAGTCTTATTAACTAGTGCTTCAGCTCTGGTGGCAATAAATGTTACACAATTTGCTCTTATTATTGCCAGTCGAATGCAAAATAAAATTCCTGAAATTTTAAACAAATTTGATGGTACCCTAAGTCTCGAATATGCTCTCTTAGGAGCTCTGTATCAACTCAGTCAATATAAAGAAGAAGAAACTAGTCCAGAATTGTCAACTGAACTTTTAGAAAAATATTTAGCATTGATGTGTAAGATAGAACCAGAGAATGTAAGTGTGACTATATATAAACAATAACAACACAACAACAACAACAACCATGTCAGATGATTATTTTCAATTATTTGTGTTTTTTATATACAGGTAGTCAATCATATAAATGGACCACATGGTTGTAGATTAGATGAAGCATTGAAAATAGTCAAACAATCCAATCATATAGATGCTGAAGCAGTAATGCTTGAAAAATTGGGAAATTACCAAGAAGCTTTCGATCTTTTGCTAAATCAATTCAAAAATCAATTAAATATGGTAATTTATTACAAAACTATGTAATCAATTTTATTATAAATAGTCATTATATAGGTATAATAGATATATTAGGTCTTTTTTATTTGGATAATAAATTTCTTTTTCTTAGTATTGCCAAAATAAATTTGTTGAGAAAGAGGCTATTATTACTGCAATGCAATTAGCAGGAATGTGCAGGAGATCTGCTGGAAGCTTGAGTTGGATGCCACTTGTAGAAGTTGTATTAAAAACTCATTCAGAAAGCGTCAATGAAAATGGTATTTAAACCTAGTTTAGTTTGTTCCAATTTTGTTGGTTTTGTTCTTTTCTTATTATCCTATAGTTTTTGTATTATTTGACAATATAAAACATAATAAGTAACAACAAACAAATTACAGTCGAGAAATTGAGTGGAAAACTGTTAAAAATTATTTTGGAATCACTTAGCGGTACAACAGCTCTATCAACTGTACTAGAACAAATTTTAAAACATCCATTATCAAAGAGTGGAACAATAGGTGACATACGTCAATTGCTCGCAGGAGTACTCACGCATTCTCAGTATGAACAAACTCTGGTTGAAACAACTGCACGATTGGTCAGCTTAGAACTCCATAAAGCATTAAAAAAATCTCTTAGGTATTATTAACGCTATTAACTAATCGTTAATATTAGTACATTAGTAAGATTATTTATTATTAACAAGTGTATTATTTATGCAGAGATGCAGGGAAAGCTTGTGCAAGCATTTCCCTTATTTGTCCTATATGCAGACAAATTTTATGCCAAAGTACGAATTACGTAGCAATTTTTGAATGTGGACATGGATATCATTTAGACTGTTTGGGAGAGCCCAGATCTTGTTATAAATGTTTAAATGCCAAAGGATGGGCACCTGTTGTTACTAATATTATACGTACTAGTAATTCTCACCTGGTATGTGTTATAGCATTTATTAGATTTTCTTTATGATTAATATTTCAAACTATCTATTTATATATAAATGTTTTTCTTTGGTCTTTCAGGAAAGGAAACAAATATTGCCACCAGAATTTATGCGTACTAAAAACTTTTCTTTAAGTCTTGCACCACCAACCTCTGTTCCTGATCTTGAAGGCATTTTTTAATATAAATATTAAACACACACACACACACACACACACGAGAATTTCATGTATATAAGGATCGTTTTATTTGGTGGTAAACCAAAAAAAAAAAACATTAGCATATAATTAATTTGACATATTATGTGTCCCTTCTTTCTATTTTCACTCTCATTTTTAGAAGTATTCATTAATATGAATTATTATATATATATATTTTACGAAATATAATATTAAATTTAAATTATATATATATTATCAATGTCTATTTTTGAGATGAAAACTACAACAATACAGTTTCTTTACATTTTAAAGTATTTACAATTATTATCATGCATTACTACTGATATACTAGTTTTCATATGTTTATAAATTGTAAACTATTAAATTGCATATATTCTTCGTAATATTTATAAGACATACATACTTTTATTTAAAAAAGAAAAAAGGCTATTGGCTTATTAAGTTGTATATTTAATATGTTGCCAAATATATAATCTTAAAGAAGAGTTAAAAAATTGTTATTCCTCATTCTAATATAATGAGCGATATTATTGTTAATATGTTTTATGTTTGAAAAATTCGCTATTCAAGTTTTAATAACTAATACAATAATATTTAAGATTGCAAAAATTATGTAACACTTTTAAACAATTTAATTGTAGGTAGAACTGGTACATCGACTTTTCGTTTATTACTTTTTATTATAAAGACTGGCTTTTTTGTTATATTTTCTGCTAATACATAATGTGGGTTTATAGTTTCATTACCCATAAGTTCACCAGTCAATAGTTTAGATACGAATGAAAAAGCATTAAGATCTGAGGAAATTAATGGACTTTTTGGTAATAATGCAGTGCTTGATACAAATTTGTCAATTGTTGATTCTAATTTCAGAATGTATGGGACCATTTTTGACATAATTAAGTATTGTTGCATCTGAAATTGATAAATGTACATACATTCATTGTAATCATATACGTAATTAATTAGAAAATAATTCAACAATTTCTTGTACACTCAACCTTATTTTCATATTTTTCAAGATTGTTTAATAATACTATTGCTTCATTAAGCAATTTATATCCTATTAATACATCATTCGAATTATATTTCACTTCGTTAGTCTGTAGTTTAGTCTTTACTATAACGATTTCTTTTTTAATTATGCCAAGAAGAGAAGATAGTGCAATATTCGGCAGAGTATGGCTTATGACTTGGATTTTAGAATATTGTTTGTAAATCTATTTCATAAAAGAATATCAAATAATAATATTTGTATTAAAAATTAAGAAAGTAATGTAATATGGATGAAATTACCTGTTGAGTCATGATTGTCCACAAATGAAAAATATTATTTGCAAATTTTTTAATCTCATTATTAACTGAGCAATGTATTTCTGCCAAGCTCCACAACGAATTGAGCTTATCGGTGAAATTGCTTCTTATTTTATTAAACCATTCAAGTTTAGTCTCTAATTCGTATTCTAATCGCATTCCATAATCAGCCTCGTTTTTGAGAATTGTTACCTATAGTAAATATATCTATTTATTGTAATTTATTTCATAAATAAATTTCATGTAAACTTATTATTTCAATGAAATTATGCTAAACTGTCTGTTACTACAATATAAGTAATGTTGTACTATTTTTCTTTAATTTTGTATATTCTTATATCTTAATATATATTTCGCTCAGAAGTACTTACATTTTTGTGAAGAATCTTTAAAAGTATATTGATTGAAGTTTCAACAATAATTACTTGAGATTCCACCATAATATTTAGTATTTCTCATTCAATATACATTAAAAGTAAAATAAAAGAGTGACTGTGTTTTATCCAAAATAGTTGAAGATATAAATCGTCATTTGTTTTCTAGATACTTTTGTTTTATTTGAGTAAATTATTCTAATAGCAAATACAAATGAATAATTTGTTCTTATTTTTTTTTTAATTTATATCTTGTACATAAAGTTGACATTTTTTTCTTCATAATTGTTATTTCTACGACGATTTACAATATGAGATATACTAATGATGTCTTTTGGCTAGTATTTCATTCGTAAAATGATGTTAACGAGGTATTGTAAGTGAAAGCAGATAAGATCTACCTCACATTTGACTTAACAAATTTTCTATAATTTTGCAATCTTAATCCTTGTTCCTTATCATTAAAAAGTTCTAAATTTCCTAATCTCTAAGTAATTTACAATTGTTTTGAACTAATATATTATCATGATTATTTTTTAAACTAATATTTAATATGTTCAATCCATTATGGAGATAATTTTAATATTGATTCTAGTTTCCTACTAAAGAAATAATTTACACACAATTATATAACAAATATTGATTTAAAATTATTTATATACTTTTAAACGAAATAGATACCACAATTAATTTAAAATAAAATTTATCAACTTCTACTAAAGGATTATAAAAAGAACAATTTTTCAAATTGGGATATCTAAGTAAAACATTAAATAATTTTTTCACATATAAATACAAATTGCAGAACAGGAGGTGAGTATCATTAATGAAGACTGAAGGACGGATAGCATTATTTATTTGCGCTAGCATTTCATTATTTAGTATAGTTCATTTCATTATTATAATCAAAAAGGATTATTTTTTTTTATTTTAAGTAGTTACTTTTTTGTAAAAATGTATAGACATTTTAATAAGAATATCTATATCATTTTCACTAATTTAATATATGTGTATATAATATAAATAAATTCTAATTCAGGAGAAAATAAAAAGAAATATTTTTTGACGATAATGTGTATCTATACATAAAAATCATGTATGATACCAATTCTTTCTTTATTTTAAACAAAAACTCAGCATACGTATATTAATATATAATATACGTATTATATATATATATATATATRTKWTMKMKAYWC